CGAGGAAGTAAGTAGAAGTCGACAGAGAGAGAGAGAGAGAGAGAGAGAGAGAGAGAGAAGAGAGAGCAGAAAAACAATTAATTGATATTTCGGCTTATTTCTGTTAAAAAATTTGGCACTTAAAACTGCAGTGGTAAGCGCAAAAGCCACATTAACGGAAACGGATGAAATTTTCTATAGTAATTATTTTAAGAGGAGACACATTGACACTGACACTGGGCTATGCTATCCATTGACACTGGGCTATGCTATAAAACGCCTATTTGTTCAATCCGACGCAATCAATGTCCCTTTAAATGTGGCGCACTTAAGAACCCACATTTAGATGACTCCTCATTTTCTCTTGATGACTCTGTCTATACTGTTAAAATAAAATTTATACTGTCGATCCTGCACAATGCGGCTCTTTCTCTAATCCGCTGGTAGGAGGAGAGCAGAAAAAAAAAAAACATTCTTTTTTTGGGTATTTGGCAATAAAACTGCTATGATGAAACACTAAAATTCTATCACCGGAAAGGATTACAATACCCCTAATGATTTTCTCCAACATACAATGGAAACATTTGGGCTACAAAAACAATCCTATAACGCCGTGAAGTCATAATTGAGGTTATACCCTGACAGGCATTTAAAGTTTTTAATGCTAGCTGAGCGAACATCAGCACTGAGTTCTTGTGAAATCAAATCAAGAGGGTGGGCATTCTTTAATTAATTTGCATCTGCTAGAAAACAAAATTATAACGATTGAGAACTGTATAACTCGCTTACTCCTGGGAAACATCTAGTAGGCAGTTCAAAATTTTATCCTTATTAGCTACAAATTGGCTTTCTTCCCAAGCAAAAACAAGCGGAAACGGTTGTTCAGAAGGAAGTTGATTCGGTTTTGTTTCCAAACCAAGAAAAAACGTGGGCATAACCGCCAAGTTTTAATTTATTTCCATATTTCATTGTTTCTGCTACCGACGTGCCCCATGACGGACACTGATTACATTTATGCAATCACTTCCCGGTTCCGTTCGCGTGCCTTCGCTGGAAATCATTGATCGTTACTGCGATAAGTATGAATGAGCGAAGAGAAAGATAAGAGGGAGCTTACACCATTGCGGAAGGAGGAATGGTAGATCAACCC